GGTGACTAGTGACAGAGTGAGGGAGGGGGTGACTAGTGACAGAGTAAGGGAGGGAAGGGGTGACAGAGTGAGTGAGGGAAGGGGTGACTAGTGACAGAGTGAGGGAGGGGGTTACTAGTGACTCAGTGGGGGGTGACTAGTGACAGTAGGGGGGTGACTAGTGACAGTGACGGGGGTGACTAGTGACACAGTGAGGGGGTGACTAGTAACACAGTAGGTGGGTGACTAGTGACAGTGAGGGGGGGGTGACTAGTGACTGTGAGGGGGGGTGACTAGTGACAGTGAGGGGGGGTGACTAGTGATAGTGAGGGGGGGTGACTAGTGGCGGGGGTGACTAGTAACAGTGGGGGTGACTAGTAACAGTGGGGGTGACCTAGTGAGGGGGGGTGACTAGTGACAGGGGGGTGACTAGTGACGGTGGGGGGGTGACTAGTAACAGTGGGGGGGTGACTAGTGACGGGGGTGACTAGTAACAGTGGGGGGTGACTAGTGACAGGGAGGTGACTAGTAACAGTGCGGGGGTGACTAGTGACAGGGGGGTGACTAGTGACGGTGGGGGGGTGACTAGTAACAGTGGGGGGGTGACTAGTGACAGGGGGGTGACTAGTAACAGTGGGGGGTGACTAGTGACAGGGGGGTGACTAGTAACAGTGGGGGGTGGTGACTAGTGACGGGGGTGATTAGTGACAGAGTGACTAGTAACAGTGCAGGGTGACTGTAACAGGTAGGGGGTGACCCCAGGTGACGGGGTGACTAGTAACAGTGGGGGTGACTAGTGACAGGGGGGTGACTAGCAACAGTGGGGGTGACTAGTGACAGGGGTGACTAGTAACAATGGGGGTGACAGAGTGACAGGGGGTGACTAGGCCAACAGTGGGGGGTGACTGAGTGACAGGGGGGTGACTAGTGACAGGGGGGTGACTGAAGCAACAGTGGGGGTGACTAGTGACAGGGGTGACTAGTGACAGTGACGGGGGTGACTAGTAACGGGGGTGACTAGTGACAGTGGGGGGTGACTAGTGACAGGGGGGTGATTAGGACGGGGGAGGGGGGTGATTAGAGCCTACCTGTGCTTCCTCTGCTCTCCCTGGCTGCTGCTCCTTCCCCTCGCTGGGCTCTGTGTGAGAGGAGTAAACAGGAAGTGATGTCACTTCCTGTCCCTCTCCCATCACACAGAGCACCGCGGGACTGGGAGTAGGAGACCTGGCAGGGAGCTGCTGAAGCTGCCAGGTCTCATAGGGGGTGATTTACAGGGCAGTAGGTTGTGGGGCCCCAAGCTGCATCAGGGGCCCCACAACCTATAAATGAAATAGTTTTATTTTTTTTATTTTGCAGTTCCAGTTGGAGAGATCTCTGATCTCTCCAGCTGGAGCAAGGCTGTGCGGCCGGGCCCCTGACTGCCTCGGGCCCTCGGTCCATGACCGATATGCCCGAGTGGTCAGTCCGCCCCTGCCCTCATATGCTTGTCTCGCCTATCTTTTCATCTAACACACTGTACTCATTTTCCTTCATTTTTCTCTTGCTTTTTTTTTTTTAATTAAAAATCTAAACCTTAATTGAACATTAATTACCAATATTAAAATTCAAATGAGTTCTTCTGTTGGTGCATTTAAGTGAGGTTACCTGAAAACACAATGTGTTCTCCATAATAAATACTTTAAAGATATCATTATTAATACATCGCCTTACTCTTGTCGTGGGGTTTCTGTGCAGATTTGAAATACCATTGTTGCTGTTTACACCTGCCCTCCTTGATCTGTGATTTATACATAATAAAATATATAGATAAATATCACACCCCCCTCCCCCCTTTTTTTTACTAGGCATTATCCACACAAAATGTGATTTTCAAATCTTGCCCTCCATTGTGATAGATTTCTCTTTCAAAACACAGTGCTGTCATACCGTCCTACTGTGCCAGCTGTTCTAAACTCTTGCCACCATAGCAACCACTGCGAGTTGGTTGAATGTTGTGCCAGCAAATTGGGCACCTGTGCCTGCTCTGTTCATTCACCTCTACCTGCTGTGCCTGCTAGTCTTTTTAGTGTATTGGCTTATTTGGCTTTATTATAGAATTCTTCTTACAAACAAAGTTTTCGAGGTGGGAGAACAAAGGCAAATCAGACTGTATCCTGTAGCCTATATCCAAAGCCTCCCCAGGTGTACATACAGCATGATGCATACATCATTTGGGTTACAGAATGTTTAGAGGTCTCTGCTGCGTTTAACAGTAATTGGCAGAGGTACCTGGCCATTGTCAATAATGCCTAGCACTTAGGGATACATTTATACTTTAATACATGTTTTTAAAAGAGTCCGGGATACGTATCTAAAGATTTGGGGTCCCGAGCAGCTATTCACAGAGAAACCCTGCCAAGCACATTCTTAACATGTGGCACTAGTTTTTCACACCCTTGATAGCTGGGTTCAACACGGAACCCATGCGGACCCATATACAGTGATAATAGAAGCCTTAAGTATAATAGAATGTAATAAAAAATTATATTATGTGGACTTGAACACCATTCCAGTGTTGCTTAAATACAAGCCTAAATGACACAGGGAGACTCTGGGTCACCGCTGGACAATTAGGGATCCAATGTCACCCTCCAAGGACAACAAGGATTGGAAACAGCAGGGGGTTATTATATGGTGGGATGCCATCACAAATATGCTAACCTTGCTAATAGTGGCACAGATTACGAAATATAAATAGATACATCCTTGTGCTAAGGTCCTTCTTCTTCCCGGCATATTTATAGACAGATGGCAGTGGTGTTACAAACACACAAGTGTACTTGAGCAGTCCGTGAAAAAGTGAAAACTTTGGTCAGATGTGATTGAAGGCACGACGTATTTATTTGTGTCACGAACACACGCATTTAGTCAGAGAGCATAACCACAAATATAGAATAACTGTGGCTAAGGATGTCAATGGCTGTGGGTTATCTAGAAGCACACTTGACAGGGTTGCACTGGGACAACAATTCAGCCCAGGCATTTAATAGAGTGCAGCCCAACCAGGGGGGTGAGGGGGTAGTATGTGGGGAATGTATGTGGGGGTGATAAGGGCTGTAGTGTGTGGGGAATGTTGTATGTGGGGGCAATATGGGCTGTAGTATATGGTGGAAAAGGGGCAGCGGGATAGGGGCTGTAGTATATGGCAGGATAGGGGTGGTAGCATATGTGTAGTAAGTGTGTGGGGGGATGGGATATTGTATACAGGGGGATAGAAGCTGTAATGTATGTAGGAGATACAGAGTTTAATATATGGCAGGAAATAAGCTGTAGTATGTGCTGAGATAGGGGCTATAGTATGGGGGTAGATAGGAGCTGCAATTTGTGTGAGGAGATAGGGGCTGCAGTTTGTGTTGGGGATACGGGCAGTTGTGTGGGGGGGATATTGTGTAGGTAATAGGGGGATATGGGTGGTAGCATTTGGGAGGATAGGGCTCTTGTAAAAGGAAAGGTGCTTTGGAATGTGGGGGGGGGGGTAAGGCTGTAGTAGGGGGCATAGGGACTGATGGGAAATTATATTTTAAAAAAACATTATTGAACTAGTAATACAAAACTAAAGTTATTCCTTCCTCCCTGCACTTTACCATATACAAGGGAGTGGGAATCCTCATCTCTGGTAGACTGGTGGGAGATGCACCTTGCCTGTACACTGACTTCTTCCTTCCCTCTGGTATTACAGTGGCCTGGTCAGTGATGGAGCTCTTTGATCCCCATTGGCCATGGAGCCCCTTTTTTAATTTCCCCTGTCAGCCTCGGACCTTGTCCGTCGTGGCATACCCTGATGGCCAGTCCAGGCATGACACTTGGTGTTAGGTATATAGTTTAATTAAGAAGAACTTCAGTTCTGTTGCAAGAATAAGACAATGTAAATACAGCCCCTGCTCAATCAGAAACCAAGATATGCATTATTAAGTCAAGAGTGTATTCATGTGCTCTAACTCTGCATTCACCTTATTCAACATGTAACGGTTGTAACCAAACAAGATGTATAGAAATACTGAGAAACATGAAGTCACCAGGTGATCAATGTGGATCTCTGATCTTACAGTTAAATATTATTCCAATATATACATATATTATGTGTGCCAACCTAAATCACTGTTTGCCCACAACTTTGTTGAAAATTACAGGCCGCGGGACTCATTTGGCAATCCTTAACATCTTTATCCTTTGGCAAACTTGGAACACTTTCACATGTATTGCCCCTTTCCCATGATTTCCCACGTTATTAATTGCTGGATGGGAAAACAAAATTAGCAACTTGGATATTGACAAAAGCGAATTTGGCTGAATATATTCTGCACTGTGCAATTCATGCCGGTAAGACCATTGGATGCTGACATCGTATCACAGAAACTATTAAAGTTACAGCAGAGTATCAAGACCTGTAATTCTCATTTTATATATTGGTCCTACATTATAGGAAATGCTTTGATTTGCATGTGTGCCTACTTATAATATTTAATGTACCTGCATTGTCTGTGATAAAAACAAAGAATCTAACCCTGTATATCTGGGATATAGCTCGGTTCTTTACTAACCCTGTATATCAGGGATATAGCTCGGTTCTTTACTGACCCTGTATATCAGGGATATAGCTCGGTTCTTTACTGACCCTGTATATCTGGGATATAGC